CATTGAGCTGTCAGGGAGATCAGAAGATCTCCCTGCTAGATCCTGTTGCAGGACTGGACTGGTCCAATGTAAAATTGTCCTGTGAGCTGTTCTAGCTTGGGGCCGCGATATCTTTGTTTTTAAAAATGAAATTCCGCAGCTGGGGTCTCACTGGTGTAAGCCAGAAAAATCGCGAAGTAGCAGAGTCTATCAATTGTTCCCTCACAATGCGCTATATGCTGAGGTTGCTGGGATATGTGATATCCCACCACAGGGGCTGAGACTGAGGATTTGTTTAAGCAACTGAAGAGAAAAATTGAGAAACAGGCCAAATAAATCGTACACTGAAATGTTCAACAGACTCCATAAGACTAGCTGGAAATATATATATATATATATATATATATAACATATATAATACAGTCAGCTTTGAGATGCATCACCGGCTACCCTGCCTATGCCCCCCTCACTTTGGTGAGGAAGATTTGTGGTTTGCAATTCTATCAGGTGCATAACACTCAGCCACACTCAGATGCCCCTCCACACAGTCACACAGACCCCACCTACAGCTCTTACACACACACAACACTTGCACCTACATACACAAAGCACTTACAGAAACACGAGGGCTCCCGGAACCCTAATCTAGCACCCTGCCTAGGGCTGTGTGCAATCTTAATCTGGCACTGCAATACATATATGTATGATGGGAGATGTAGTCCAATAGCTGAAGGACTTTAATTGTCATTAAAATATGCACGTGCTTTTCAATAGCTTTCACAATTCCACTTAATGTTCTTGTCACATATATGTTTATAGCTCTGTTTTTATTTATTTGGTTATTTTAAAGGTTATTGATACAGCAATAACATTTACCTTATATGCATCCTTAATATATATGTTCATTCCAATTGTTAGTTTCCAATGCTTAAAGGGTTACTTAAGAACTGTGACCAGTTAATTGATTTCAAGTGGTCATGATGCCAGGATTCTGTATGTGCAGCTTTTCGCTTTGAAATGCTGCACATACAGAGATTAACAACTTCACCTCTGACAGCATTACTAGATAGTCCAGAACAAAGTTCCCGGCTGGCTAATGTCCTTTCTGTGCAAAATTGGCACATGTCCCCCAACACTCACAATATGCCACCCCTGTCATCACTCCACATCATGTGCCACCCTGACCTCCGTTCACCTTATTTGACCACCCTCCAGCGAGAGTGAGTGACGCCCGGCAATGAGGATTAGCCTGAGGGGAACTTGGATGGAATGGAGGTGAGTTTTAGCGTTTTGGTTTGGTTTTAATTTTTTTACTTTTGGAGGGATGGAGTTATGAATAGGGTACATGGCATTTTCTGCCATCAATTGAGTTCCACATCTGGGGAAGACGGTTGTAATGGTTTAAATTCCTATCTTGTCCCCGCATACATTGTCTTCTAACTGTAACAATTTTGTTAAATTTTTGCAGCTATAGGCGTGCTCCCTCACTAATTGACATTACAGTGCTTAATGCTTCCTCTGGTACATCTAAGTGTTTGTACAGTGCATGCACGCTATAAATACCCCGCCCTCCTTGAGACTCCTTATGTGCAATCCATTTTAATTGTTTTGGGGTTTTGTTTTGTTTTTTATTTTATTTACATATTCTACAAGTTGGCTATATTCAAACTAGAGGTCGCCTACAGCTTGGAGTGTCCCTTTATATTAAGCATGCCAAACTCACGGGCTGCATGCGGCTCACAAGGACCATCTTTGCGGCCCAGCGAGCCGCAAGTACATGCTGGTGTTATAGCAGAGTAGGCACCTGCTTTCCCCACATTGCAGGTGCCTACTCTGTTAAAACTTACCCGGCCGGGGAGGAAGGCCAGCAAGGGAGCTGAGACTTCCTGCTCCCTCGTGTACGCCGTCTGTAATGATGCCTGACACCAAAATATGACGTCCTATTCCGGCATCATTAAACCGCGCAAGGGAGTAGTGAGGAGCAGATAGAAGGACCCCAGGGACATGCCCCACATCAGCTCCAAAAGGTAGGGAGCCGTAAAGTCTGTCTGTCTGTGAGTGTGTGTGTGTCGGTCGGTCGGTCTGTCTGTATGTGTGTGTGTCAGCGGGAGGATCAGATTTGGCACAGGGTGGTAGAGCGTGGTGCTGGGATTTAGTAGAGGGGGGTGCTGTGGTTTAGTAGAGGGGGATGCATTTTTTTTATTTATTTTTTTATATACTGTATTTTTAAAAATAAACCTACGTTTCTATGAAAAGTTAAGGTATTTTATTTTTGCGCCCCACATAAACTTAAACATTGTTTATGTGGCCCGAGCCAGACTTTGAGTTTGACATGCTTGCTTTTACATTGAGACCAACAAAAGCATAATTGGCTTTTTGGGGGGGGTATTTTTGTGTTTTTATTGAGGGGGTGGCAGGGAGTTGTTAGGCGTGGGTAGAAATGTTGATTTCAGTTTGCCAGTGACAAACAGATTAATAAGTCAGACATGAAAAGGAAGATGCAGTTCTGTTTGCAAGGAATTTTCCTAAACTCTCCTGTTCCCACATTATTCTGTAGGGCCTTATTTTACTGCTGAGACTGCACACCATTTAGCACGTAGCCTCGGAAGACTAGACTCCGAGCAGGCTTCTCTTCAATGAAACCATGCTGACTAATCTCATGTTAGTTGATCACTCTTAGCAGTCCTTTTTCCTTGTTAGCTTTAATGCTTTCGGGAAAGGTATTTGAATATTACTTGTGAAATATTTCTAGATTATAGCTCTATTATACTAGACTGAATAATTTTTTTTATTTTCAATTTAGATCTACTAAGCAACAAGCTCAATACCATGTTTTATCAGTTTCTATTAGGAAACGTGTGTGTGTGTGTGTATATATATATGTGTGTGTGTGTGTGTGTGTGTGTGTATATATATATATATATATATATATATATATATATATATATAATTTTTTATTATTTAATATCCATAGCCCATATATTTGTCTGTCATTGCTTCCAACAATGCACTATTTCATTAATGGTCATTTTATATATGTGTATAATAATGAATAATTTTTTTCTTTTTACTAGTTTTGAATGTGAATATCTACAATTTCTGAAGTGGCTTTAGTGAACTTTGTTCTATTATTATTATTATTATTATTATTATTATTATTATTATTATAAAATCCAGCTCTTGTTTAGCATCCAGTAGAAAGTTGTGGAACAGGATGCATCCCAAAAATCCCTGCACATTTGCAGGAGCATTAATGTGTCTGAAAAAGGCCTAGTCTAAAAGTGCATGGCTTACAAATAACATTACCTATTATCCTGCTTTTTAAACAATGTACACTTTTACTTAATTTCTCTTAAATCAGTATTATTTTTCTAACAAACAAATAAATTCAAGTAACAGTGATGCTAAATAGCAGACCAAAGAAAATAATTTAGTTGGAGCTGCACCTCACACAGTGTACAAACCCCAAAAATAACACTCAAAATACAATTTTAAAAACACTTAAGGTGCGCTGTGTTTTTAAGATGTGTCCTCAATAAAAATATACAACATTTTTGTGTAAATATAACACGAAAGATGCTTATGCCATAAAGTGCAATAATAATTGTGCAACTGTGCAATAGATAAATCGCAATAAATGTCCTTAAGCGTATTTTGCAATATTGCCCTATGAGTTTTATGTCTATTTTTTTTCTTTACATTTTCATCCTTAACGTGGAGTCAACTCATACCAATATATACTGTGCGTAAGTGAAGTGTGGCACTTTACACTGTTGCTTTTGCAGAGAAATTGTAGCACTTTATTGTGATTTATTTATTGTACTGTAGCACTTTATTGTAATTTATCTATTGCACAGTTGCACAATTATTATTGCACTTTAGCACCTTTAGTGTTATATTTACACAAATATTTTTTTATATTTTTATTGAGGCACCTTAATTGTTTTTAGTATTATTTTTCTATTGGTATTCATAATATTAAATACACTTTGTCTGTTTTTCGATGTTTGGATTCTTATATTTTATTTACTTATTTATTTTGCAGAAGGATCTTGAAAACTTTGAGCAACCGTTTCAGTCACTGGCAAAAGCTGTGCACCATATGTACCAAGAAAGAATGGAGAACTTCAAGTCCTTGGTGTAACATTCTGAGAAACTGATAACTAACAAAGATTCTTTGGCTGTGGCAGTGCTGCTGCCACACTTAGTTTTTTATTAAAATAACCTATTGTGCAGTTTGTATTATAGTTCCTCATGGAGTAAATATTTAATTTTCCACACTTAGGATCAAATAAACAAGATGTTATTTTTACACAACCTTACCAGAGTCTTCAGTTCATGTGTGGTTTTATAGAACTGTTCAGGTGCGATCAGCAAAATATATATTTTCACAGGTGGTCCATAGTGTCTGCCTTCAGTTTATCCGTCAGTCCTAATGACTGAAGAAATCGTATGTAAGAAGGTACGTACCAAGCGAGAAAATTATATTGGGCACAAGCTAGAAAGATAATTTCTAGTGTATTCTAGTTTAATTAAAAAAAAAAAAAAAAATAGTTTACTTAAAATACTTGCTGGTTCACTCGTCTGTAAATAATCTAGTCACTCATTGGAGCTTTTTCAATAATGGCACAATTTGATAGCATTATAGGGGCATGTAGAAATTTCCGGTTCATATGTCTCCTAATAAATGATAATTGGAATATATGTGCTGCATATTTTTACTAAGACCGAATAAAAGATTTCTGGCTAATTGTTTTGGCCATAGATGGCACACCGCATCATCAGGTTAAAAATAAAAAAAACTCTTCACTCTTTCAAGTACAGCTGGACGCTTGAAGTTATTCAACATATAAAGTCTGATTGATTGTGGTCTCTGTTCTCTGCAGCCCAGTGTTACTCCGTAACTATCCAATTCCAAAATGGCTACCTCCCCACAGCGAAACTGCAAGATCTTTAAGTGGGAATTATAGCTAAGTTTACTATAGCGTGGTTACATAAATATACTTTCAGCTTGTTGGAATTATTGTTTTAAACTGATTTATGGAGAGAAAATGACAGTGACTCTATATAAAAAAAAATAGTGTGTGTAATTACAGAAACACACAGTTCACATGTGAATGGGGGTATACAGGTTTGTGAGACAGTGCTTAGGAAGAAAATAGATGTAAGAATATAACATACAAACCAATGTTAATTATTTTTTAATAACAGCATTGACTATTTTGGCCTTCAGTTTAAAATGTATCCACAATTCCTGCTTTCATATCAATGAAAGTCTATTTTAGATGTTCCACATGTGTTACTAGGTTGTGTCCTGTCTCCATCTTATGCAGATTAAGGAGCATCACACTCTGTCCCTGACGAGAGCAATGTGTGACATGCGTTAATTGTAATGCATGCCGGGTCTGGGATATTAGGCTGCAGCCTCTTCAGCCAGAACCTCCTGGAATTGTTTCCTGACAAGGCCCATTCATCCTGTAATGTACTGACTAGGTTGTGGGGGAAGGGAGTGGAAAATATAACAAGGGAATAGTGTCAGCAATAAAGAGAAACAGAGGGGGGTGAAAAACAGACTATATTAAACATTATGTTGCATAGTTTAAGTACAATTACTTTTACCTCTAAAAAATGATTTACATTTAACAGTAATTTCCTTGTAACTTTCAAGAAACATTAATTTACTTCCTTGTTTAGTACATGGATATGTATAAAAATAGAATATTTTGTGAAACTGAATATTTTGAGAAATGTGTAGCTTCTATCTAGCATAGGGGTGCCCAAAGGGTAGGTCCCCCAGATGTATTAAAACCAACAACTTCCATTTACTTTGTCATTCTCAAGGCACACAAAGCATCATGGGAGTTTTAGTTCTACAACATATGGGGACCTACCTTTTGTGCACCCCTGATCTAGTTTATAAATATGTAAGTGTACATTTATTTTATGGACCCAGTTCTATCTAGTTATTGATTCGTTTTGTGAGCATTGTCCAGTGTAGACAATTGGTAAGAAATGTCATAAGGGACCTGTAATTTTTCAACCCATTAAGGTGTTAAGAAGCAAATCCCCTAACTTATGTATATTTATACAACTTTGAATATGACCCTGTTGTTTGGAAGTGCCAAAGCAAGTACACTAACCAAATGAGCTATCTTACCCACTGCAGAGCTATATCTAATTTATAATTTTTCCGTTGTATCAATCGTAGACTACACTACATATGTAATTTTTTTTTTTCTGTGCCATCCTAAACTACACTGTATCTGATATACGATATTATGGCACGTTGTCCATTTTAATCTTCACTTGTTTGATTTATATCACTTTATCATAGCATCCAGCCTAACGCAAAGGCATTTGATTTATGGTACTATGGTTTATCATGGGCCCAGGTCTAAATCAAATTTTATTTTTTATTTTTTTTTTTTTTAAATAAATGCTTTCACTGTTTCTGTGCTTTATCTTTGTGACATCTGCTATTTTATCACAATATCCTTTATAATCAGATTTATATTACTTTTTAACCCACATCTAATTTGTAATACATTTTTTCTGGTCTAATATATTACCTGGGCTGATATTGTATTTTGGCATGGTATCAAGCCTAATGCAACCTACATCAGTTTTATAACATCTGTGCGTAAATTCTGGACTCCAAGTGTTAAGGTGTCAGTTTAATACATGATTTGTAATACTTTGTAATAGTGTCAGTTCTAGTCGAAACCACATCTAATTTATAATACTTTGGCTAGTTATCAGTACTAACATACACTGTATCTAGTTTTTACAATCATTCTTCCTAATAACTGTCATAAGTGTTAAAAATAAAGTTGTTTATTATTTTTATTGTCCATCCTGATATAACCTGCATTTGATATATCTCTTAGGTGGGGTCATAACTCTTACCATTCACCTTACTTCCTTGAGCTTCTGGCAAAAATATCTCCAAAGAGACAGAAAGGGGTATTTTTTATATACATCCCTACATGCTTATTAACCCTTAATAGGGAACACTTGGAATGGGCAGCAGCAATGTAACCTAGCTGTGTGATACAAAAAGTGAATACAAAGAAACAAGTCCTGCGCTCAAACACCAATTACTCCTGGGTGGCAGCAACGACCATAGTACACATCAGCCAAAACACATATTAAAAACCAAAGGGGAAAAAAGTTACCTGCGCTCTTTCCACATCCCTATGTATTTTTAAACAAATGGAGGTTTTTAGGGTATGCCCAACTATTTTCTTTGGTTTTTACAATATGTATTTTGGCTGATGTGTACTATGGTCGTTGCTGTCGCCCAGGAGTAATGGGAGTTTGAGCGCAGGACTTGTTTCTTTGTATTTGCATTTGATATATATCATATGTTATCTCCCTGATCTGAACTACACCTGATTATTTTCTATTATTATTTCTTCCCTTTATTTGGGATGTATCTCATAAAGCAAGGATTTCGTCTGTGTGTTTATTCTGTTACCATTTGCTGCTGAATTGATAAAGGTGGGCAAATCTCAGCTGTACAGTTTTTGAAATCAAATTTCTGTACCATAATTTGTATTTCTTAAGGGGGGGGGGGGGGTAAGCCAAGATATTAGGGCTTTTTGACAGCCCAACTGAAAGGAGACATATCAGACAGACCGAAAATGCAACAATAAGAAAAAAAATGATTGAACAAAGCAGAATGAACCACAACAGGACTTGTCCAAAACGCTGTGACATTAACACTGTGGACTAAGTTCACCTTTGGATTCTTTGCCTTAGCTACCTTCTACACAAGTTGAGCCATTGGACTATTGTTGACCAACTGGGACTTTGCTACCAGCTAGTGTGGACAAAAGCAAGTAGTCATAGAAGACTAGATAGTCCGTTAAGCTCTGGAATTCAGAGAAAATAGGTCCGTAACAAGGGCAAGCAATCAGATTCTGATTTAAACAAAAACGCGTACGTTAGAAGCATAAGAATACGTCTGAAACCATGGGAACTCTGAGAACTATCTCTCACCTGTATGCCTCAAATCACAGTGTACCATTAACAAATCAAACTTTACAGTAACAGTCTGAATACAGTCTGTAAGTGTGTGTGTTTTTAATAAGCAACTGCACTCAAATTTGATATCCCAAATGGTAAAAATTATAACTATTAAATCAAAAGTACACTTGAAACTGTGAGCTACATGACTGTCTGGGTGTCTTATTCTAATGCAAGCTGCTTTGCTTCTAATATAGTCATACTATACAAAACATAAACACAATAGTGTTAAGAATTCAAACATATTCTTAGCCTCATACATCTGGGATCTAAATTGATTTTTAGCAATTAATGTTAACACCTTAACAACCCTCACCTAATGCTATACCAACTCTAACCCCATGCTTACACTAATACCTATCCTAACCTTAAAGGAGCACTATAGGGTCAGGAACACAAACATATTCCTGACCCCATAGTGTTAAAACTACGATCTAGTAAAATCTTACTTGTATTCAAGTCTGAAGCCGCTGCCTCGGCCTGTGAACTTCGTCTGACATCATTAGAAGTGGTGGCCTGATCCAATCACAATGCTTCCCCATTGGATTGGCTGAGACTGACAAGGAGCCAGCACAATTCAAACACAGCCCTGGCCAATCAGCATCTCCTGATAGAGATGAATTGAATCAATGAATCTCTATGAGGAAAGTTCAGTGTCTGCATGCAGAGGAAGAAGATACTGAATGTTTGGATGCATTTTAGGCAGCCATGACCCAGGAAGGATCTCTAACAGCTATCTAAGGAGTGGCCAGTGGCGTTATCACTAGGCTGTAATGTAAACACTGCATTTTCTCTGAAAAGACAGTGTTTACAGCAAAAAGCCTGAAGGTAATGATTCTACTCACCAGAACAAATACAATAAACTGTAGTTGTTCTGGTGACTATAATGTCCCTTTAACCCTATACTATCCCTAACCCTAAAACAGCATTAACCCAAACCTTAACCTAACACTCTACACTAGCTAACCCTACCCTAACTCTAACCCAACCATACCCTTACCCTAAATATAACTCTACCTTAACCCCATCACTAACCCTAACACTAAGGAAACCCTCTGGTAATATAAATTCTGATATCAGAATTAAAACAGTAGAGCATGCTGTGTGACTGCCCTCTACTGGCTGTTTTCATAATTACATTCTATGTCATTCTAAATGGAGACTGCTTTCCAACTGATTACACTGTGATTGTTGTTGGGCAGCTTGCAAAGCCCAGCACAGATCACAATCAACTTTGGAACAGGCAGGTAGACCCTGGAGGGATCTTCTTTGAGGAGCCTGCAGTCCAGAAATACCGTGGCTGAGCACATTCTCTATTCCTTTACAGGTTCCCCCAAGTGCAATTTACTTACCTTTTTTCAGCCGAGGCTCCCTCTCCTCTGTTTAGTTCTGGTACCCTAGCGAAGTCACGAAGGAGGCATGATCTCCTTCGCAATAGACCAATCCAACGCTCCTCAAAGGAAAACATTGAGTCATTGCTATTATGATTGATTTTTACACAGTCAGTGTAGCGAAAGTGCCTCTAGTTGCTGTCATACTGACAGCCCATAGAGGTGGACTTTACTCTGCAAAGTAAACATTGCAGTTTCTCAACAATTGCTATGTTTTAAGTTGAAGGGTAAAGGGGAAAGGGACACTGCACCCAGAGCACTTTATTGCCAAAAGTGTACCTTTAAAGGTTTCCTCGTCCAGTGCTGCATAGAGTTCATCGGTCAGTCTGCGGCCACTAAATAGCCCTAGCTGACAGACAGGAGCCCCAGGAATCTATTCCAATAATATCTGGGTTTCCTGGTGTAAGCAGAGATCTAACCCTGCTTACACCGCAAGCTTTTTGTAGGCATTTAAAACTACATTTCCTCTGATGCCTTGCTGGCATTATGGCTGTTAGAACATTATGGGAGATGTCCACAAAATCAGGAGTGCCAAGGGTTGCCTACCCCTGCTTTAGTGACTGTCCAGGTGACAACCACTTGTGGACAAAAGCAAGCAGTCATAGAAGACTAGATAGTCCTTTTAGCTCTGGAATTCAGAGAGAATAGGTCCGTAACAAGGTTAAGCAATCAGATTCTTATTCTGATAAACAAACCTGTCAGAGGCAGGACTGTCTTTTCGCAGCCTAGAGGGATTTTATTTCAAAGCTAATTGCCCCAAATCCACTGCATTAGGCTGTAGTGTTTCTTGTGCCTACAGTGCCTTGCAAAAGAATTCACCCCCATTGGCATTTTTCGTGTTTTGTTGCCTCACAACCTGGAATTAACATGGATTGTTTGAGGATTTGCATCATTTAACTTACAGAACATGCCCACAACTTTGATGATTTTTTTAATTTTTTTATTAATATTGTGACGCAAACAACAAATAGGACAAAATAACAGAAAAAGTCAATGTGCATAACTATTCACCCCCCTAAAGTCAATACTTTGTAGAGCCACCTTTTGCGGCAATCACAGCTCCAAGTCACTTTGGATAAGTCTCTATGAGCTTGCCACATCTTACCACTGGGATTTTTGCTCATTCCTCCTTGCAAAACTGCTCCAGCTCCTTCAAGTTTGATGGTTTGTGCTTGTGAACAGCAATCTTTAAGTCTGACCACAGATTTTCTATTGGATTGAGGTCTGGGCTTTGACTAGGCCATTCCAACACATTTACATGTTTCCCCTTAAACCACTCAAGTGTTGCTTTAGCAATGTGTTTGGGGTCATTGTCCTGCTCCGTCCTAGCCTCAAATCATGCACAGAGTGGTACAGGTTTTGCTCAAGAATATCCCTGTATTTAGCACCATCCATCTTTCCCTCAACTCTGACCAGTTTCCCAATCCCGGATGGTGTTCTTTGGGTGATGTGATGTGTTGGATTTGCGCCAGACATAGCATTTTCTTTGATGGCCAAAAAGTTAAATTTTAGTTTCATCAGACCAGAGCACCTTCCTCCATACATTTTGGGACTCTCCCACATGCCTTTTCACAAACTCAAAACGTGCCATTTTGTTTTTTGCTGAAAGTAATGGGCTTCATGGAAGAAGAAAGCCAACTCTATGGAGCGTACGGCTTATTGTCGTCCTATGTACAGATACTCCAGTCTCTGCTGTGGAACTCTGCAGCTCCTCTAGGGTTACCTTAGGTCTCTGTGCTGCCTCTCTGATTAATGCCCTCCTTGCCCGGTCTGTGAGTTTTGGTGGGCGGCCGTCTCTTGGCAGGTTTGCTGTTGTGCCATGTTCTTTCCATTTAGTTATGATAGATTTGATGGTGCTCCTGGGGATCATCAAAGATTTGGATATTTTTTTATAACCTAACCCTGACTTGTACTTCTCAACAAAATTGTCCCTTACTTGTTTGGAGAGTTCCTTGATCTTTATGGCAGTGTTTGGTTAGTGGTGCCTCTTGCTTAGGTGTTGCAGCCTCTGGGGCCTTTCAAAAGAGGTGTGTATATGTAATGACAGATCATGTGACACTTAGGTTGCACACAGGTGGACATCATTTCACTAATTATGTGACCTCTGAAGGTAATTGGTTGCACCAGAGCTTTTTATGGGCTTCATAACAAAGGGGGTGAATACATACGCACATGCCAATTTTCGGTTTTCTATTTCTAAAAAATAGTTTTATCTATATATATTTTTCTCATTTCACTTCACCAACTTAGACTATTGTGTTCTGATCCATCACATAAAATTCAGATTAATGAAACATTGAACTTAAGGCTGTAATGTAACAAAATAGGTAAAAAGTCAAGGGGGGTGAATACTTTTGCAAGGCACTGTATAGTGTCCCAGTAAGCTTATACAATTAATGCAAAACTAAACTGCAGTCAAACAGTTATGACATCTGTGATGAGAGCCTAAGTGACATCACAGAAAGGGATGGGGCCAGATGTGGCTGGGGGAACTGTCATTTTGCAAATGTAATGCTGCTGCTGTAGATGGTGTCTCGCCTCAAGTTAAGCTCTGCAATAAAGACATGTTGAAACCAGGTTACCGTGTTATATGCATTTCATGGCATGCTGTCAGGAGTACTGACCTGCATACAGTGGCGTACACACGATCAATGGGGCCCCAGTGCGAAAACTGATCCGTGGGCCCCCCCTTGGTGGTTACACCGCGAGGGCCGGGCTGCATCACATGGCTGCGGGCACCTGGTCGCAGGGGTCCGCAGGGATGCTGGGCCCCCTGGAGTGACGGGCCCGGTCGCAGCTGCGACCCCTTTATATACCCCACTGTACACACACACACACATACAAACACACATACATACAAACACACACAGAGACACATATATACAGACACACACATGCATACAAACACACATATTTACAAACACACATACATACAAGCACACATACATACAAACACACACACACATACAAACACACACAGACAGACATACACACAGACAGACAGAGAAACATTCATACAGATACACAAACATATATACAAACAAACAAACACACACATATACAAAATATTTTAGTCACCCTCCTGTTTCCAACCATTTAGATGCAGGAGGGTGACTTTCCTGGGGTCCAGTGGAGGCTCAGCCTGATGGGAGTCAGAGTTCCCACTCTGACTCCCTCCTCTCTTATTCCCGCAAGGCTCTGTCTGATAACTGGGAGGAGTGACCGGGGCAGTCACTTCCTCTCAGCTATGATGTCATCAAAGGGGGCCTGGTCGCACTGTTAAAGCTCTGAAGCGCTGAACGGGCCCCCTTGAAATCCATAGCCATCGGGTGGCCCTAACAGTATGGGCCGCCCAATAGGTCCCTTCACGTGTGGCCCCGGTGGTTTTACTGTGTGGGCCGGAGCCGCAACACATGGCGACCCGCAACCCGGTCGCAGGGGTACGCAGGGCAGCCGGGCCCCCTGCAGTGACGGGCCCAGTTGCAGCTGCGACCCATGCGACCCCTGTATGTACACCACTGTCTGCGTAACTGTTTGTTAATCCATAAAAAGATGTCTACTGTTACTTTACCTGAGCCATTTGAGGTATCTCAGCCTGCAGCATGGCCTATCTTGCGCCAGCGGTTTGCTCGCTTCAGGATTGCATCCAAGCTAGATAAGAGAGTGGTGAAAAACAAGTTAATTCCCTTTCATGTTCTATGGGGAAAGATGCAGAGCCTGTCTACAATACATTTACATTCCAAGAGGGGAAGAATTTGACTTTGAGATAGTTATGAATAAGCTTAGTGTCCATTTTGTGCCTAGGAGGAATGTAATTCATGAGTGGGCCTGTTTTCATAAGCATGTGGGCAAATCAGTAGAATCATTCGTGGGCAGCCTTAAAGGACCACTATAGGCACCCAGACCACTTCAGCTTAATGAGGTGGTCTGGGTGCCTGGTCCAGCTAGGTTTAACCATTTTTTAATGGTTAATCCAGCCTCTAGAGGGCTTCCGCGCTTCTCACTGTGATTTTCACAGTGAGAAGACGCCAGCGTCCATAGGAAAGCATTGTGAATGTTTTCCTATGGACTGGCTGAATGCGCGCGCGGCTCCTGCTGCGCATGCGCATTCAGCCGAAGAGGAGGAGAGGAGGAGGAGAGCTCCCCGCCCGGCACTGGCGAAAGAGGTAAGTTTAACCCCTTCCTCCCCCCAGAGCCTGGCAGGAGGGGGACCCTGAGGGTGGCACGAGTATGTTTTCCTGGCACTATAGTTGTCCTTTAATGAATTGGTGGTGCTCTGTGAGTTTGGTGCTGCCAAAGAGGAGCAGATCAGAGACAGAATTGTCATAGGAATTGCAGACCCAGAAGTCTCACTGAAGCTGCAGCTGGAGTCTGCGTTGACACTTGATGAGACTATCCGAATGGCCCAGCAGAATGAACTTGTGCAGAAGTAAAGTGTAGAGATGAGATCAGAATGCATGGTGGAAGAATTGCAGCAGTCCAGGAGAGCTGCAAGCGACAGACAGAGTGTGAGTAGCAGACTGCAGACAGGTTTAGAGGTGGTTTTGTGCAATAGGCTCGTTGCATTCAATGTAACTGCACTCACGGAAAAAAAACTATTGTGCCCTGCTAAAAGCAAGAGGTGCAGGAAGTGCAACCAAATTGGCTATTTTGAGGTGGTTTGCAAATCAGAGTCTGTTAAGGAAATGCATCTGGACAGTGACCAAGAGACACAAGAGGTGTATTTGTAGGGTCTGTGATTGAACAGTCCGGCTCTAATGAAGATTTGTAGGGTCTGTGATTGAACAGTCCGGCTCTAATGAAGATTGTCGAGTTACTCTCACAGTGATGGGTGTAAGAATTGCTTTTAAGATTGATACGGGAGCGGACATTACCATTATTTCTCTTGCAACGTTCATGAAACTGCCACAAAGACCACAACTTGAGACGTTACAATAGAAGCTCACAGCCCTCGAGGTCGCACTGGTTGTGTCAGGTGATTTCTGGCAGTGGGTACAAGCAAAAACAATTAACTCTGTGGGTGTATGTAATCAGAAGACAGATGTGTTAATAACCTTCTAAGCCAGAATGCAGCCTGTAGTATGGGCCGTGTTCCAAGAGTG